TAAATAATTATTTATTGAATTATAATTAAAAATATTAATTGAAAAAAAAGGTGGTTTTTTTTGTCCCCGACTGTATAAATTTTAAACAATTTTATGATTAATAAAGTGATAATGTTTATTTATTTTTTTAAAAAAAATAAAATAAAAACAAAGTTAAAAAATAAGATTGTTATTAATCTTTTTTTATATAATCAAATAGTAAACAAAACTTTTAAACTTGCTTGTTTTCTGATCAAAGGTTTTATTTTAATATAATAGTGTAGTGTTTTTAAAATTTTATATTTTTGAATTTATAATATAGTTAATATATTTAAAAGATAAAAAAAAACACTTTTTTTAAAAAAAATTATTATAAAAAGAAATTTTTAAAAAATTAAAGTAAATAGATGAAGATTTTTTTTTTGTTTTTAAATAATTTTAGAAATGATAAGAATTAAATAATATATATATTTTTAAATAATATAAATCTAAAAAATTTTATCTAAAAAATTTTATTTATTAATATAGATATTATTTTAGTTTTTATTTAATTTTTATTTAAATATTTATAATTCGAAATAAAACTAAAAATATAATATTAATATTAATAATATTTTAATTATAGTCTTGAAAATTGGAATTGAATAGACTTATATAGACTATATGAGATTTGAAACATTATTAAAAATAATAATAAATTATAATTCATATATTAAATTTAATATAAACTTGAGAATCAAGAATTAAATTAAATTAAATTATTAGAATTCTTGATCTTAATTAAAGAAAGATAGGTTCTTAAATTATTTAGTATATAAAATTTTACAAATTAATTATATCTTTTTTGAAAAAATATAATTAATTGTTTATTATTTTAATAGAAACATAATTTAAAAACATTTGAACTAAGTGATTTAAATTATAAAAAGCTTTTATAAATAGTTTTTTTTGATTTTATATTTAAAAAAAACTTTTTTAATAATATAGAATATTGGAATTATATTCTTATTTTTGATTTAAAAACTTATTTTTAATTTTGATATATTAGTTTTAATTTAATACTTTTAAGTTTGAATCAATAACAACAAGTTAATATAAAAATAATTTGATATAATTTAGTAATATATAAAATATTTTATAGAAAATAATTTGTATAATATAAAAAAATATATAAATTAAACAAAATATTATATTAGACAAGGTCCAATTAGTTAATTAAATAAAAAATATATTTATAATTATACAATATTATTTTTGATATGTATTAATTTTAATATTGATTTTTTTTTTTATTGTTTAAATAATTTTTTATAAATAAAATCAATTTTATGATGTTTAATTATTTATAATAAATTTTTATTTGATTCAATTATATTTTATGAAATTTAATATATTGAAATAATTTTATTTATTACTATATATATACAGTATATTTAAAAAGAAAAAATAACTATAGTAAATTTAAGTTTTACTTGATTCAATAATCAATTAAAATAACAATATTGATTTTAATAATAATTAGAAAAAAAGTATTTTAAAACTTTACTTATTGATTAAAAGATAAATTTTAAAAATTATTAAAAAAATTTTTTTTAAAAAAAAATCAATAATTCAAAATTAATGGTTACAAGATTAAAAATTTATTTTAATTTTTAAAAATGATATCTGAATAGAGATAAAATAATTTAATTAATTACAAATAATAAAAAAAAATTTTATAAATAAATATGTATATATATATTATTTGTTTGTTTGTTAATAACAAAAAAAATTTTTTATAATTATTATTATACTTATTTAAATAACGTAATTTATAAATAATAATTTTATTGAACATTAAAAACATCTAAGTTTATTTAAGAAACAAGCAATATATTATTCTTATAAAGTATATTTAAAAGTCTTTTACTATTAATAGATAAATTAAATCAAGTCGATATATAAATAAATAGCCGAATTCAGTTTAATTGTAAAAAAAAATTATTATTATTAGGTAAAGAAAAAAAAATCCAAGAAAGAAATTTTTCATAGGTTTTCTGTCATGCAATAGCAAACAGATAAAATCTTGAAATTGATTTATAATAAATAATCGTGATTATTATTATTATTATTGTTATATTATTTAATTTAATTATTGTTTTATTAATTTGGACAATAATGTTATTTGTTATCTTGATTATTATTATTGAAAAATTGAAAAAGCATTAATTCATAAATCATAAAGTTCGATTTTAATATACCGTATGTATGATAATATCTATCGTCATGCTAACTAACGTCATAGCCTGGAACAACTGGCATTGTCTCCCGCACGTTCTGAAGAACGGTCACACAATGACAGTAAGTTTATCAGTATTATCGATAATTCGCGGCGGTGACACAAAGATTGGTTACACAAATAAGGCTTTTTAAGCCTTCATCAATTGGGCTCACTTGAGATTTCTTAGGTTTTCCAGCATAAAGGATGAAGATTTTTGCGATCCCAGTATTGAAAGATCGAATCGCATGCTACTGCGATTATATACCGAAAAAAGAAACCCTGGTATCTCGGGCCACCGCCTATGCGGCAAAGAAATGGGAGCAACTTTCTCACGCCGATAGTTCAAGTTGGAAGCACAAGTTATATGTCAATGGACAAAAATTATTGGATAAAATGGATTATGAAGAGTATTTTCTGAAGGGTGTACCGTTGAAGAAGGAGATTAATGATGCTTCAAGTAAAGTAAGCGTGCGAGTAGAAGGCCACATCATTTTTTTGTTCGGGTTGGTTGAATAACGGAAAATTCTGCTGTAGGTGCCATTACTCTATCCTTCAAAAACCGTAAAGCCCGAGAAAGTCACGGAGACGCTTGAACGGCTACTCAAATCACGTATACCCTATCATCGAAAATATATGATCTATTCCGGACTACTCCTTCCCTTGTCAGCCAGCTTTACGATAGTACCGCTCGTACCGAATATACCATTATTTTATAATCTCTTTCGATTTTACAGCCATTACAAAGGTAGAATGGTTTTTCGTTCATCCATAATTCAAATTTAGATTTATTTTAAAAAGATTTTTTTTTTTTTGGTTTTCTAATATGAAAGCCTTTAAGGGAGCTCAGCACCTTCAACACATCACCAACGACGGCCGACTAATACCCACCAAATCAGATCAGTTAAATTACATTTTCGATGGGTTAGATTTAGAAAACGGAGATGTTATCGACGAAGATCGCATTCACATGATCACAGATGAGTTCAAGGTAGAGCGCTTGGGAATTGAAGTGAGGCGAGCTAGGCATCAAATCTTGGAGAAGTTGAAAACAGAATCACCAGATAAATACAAGTGGGTGAAACAGAAGAATGGATATAGCGATTCATATGAAAGGAAGGGAGGTGTGGAGGACATTGTCAGGTCGAGGAGTCGGGAGGATAATTTAAAGGAACTTCACATTGCAGATAATACCAAGATCAAAGGAGATATAGATGGTCACAAAGAAGGTAGGAAGGTTAAGAACGTGAAGATCATAACCGATACAATTGTAAATAGGAAGGATGAAAGTAAAACAATTAATAATAATATTGTAAAATAGTGGATAACTTTTTAGGGAAGCAATCTTGATTACTAAATCTATCTCATGGGTGTCCCACAAAAGGGTAAATAACTCACGCCCATCATATAAACATTTTGTTCACATATTTTTCTTGTGACTTTCTATCAAACCAATTCGCTTTTCCTCAAAGTGTCCGATATAAAATGTCAGGTGACATTATCTTCTATGACGTGCATCTACGTATTTAATCATCATCCTACACGTCATCTCGAGTTCGAATCATATAGGCAAACGCCAAGAAATGATTTCAAAAAGATTTGGATTAGCTTCTTTTAAAAAGGATTATCGTCCTATTAATCTTACTTTTTTAAATTCGCATTCTCGGATGTAGTGAACTCGTCCAACAGGAAATGATCGAACCGGGGAATCAAGAAAGCTTCATATATGCATACCCACGAATGGTTTGATCATTATCATTTCATTGATATATTGACTGCACTTGAAACCTGTGGGATGCCAAACCCTGCCTCTATCATATCCAAGGAAGAATTATCTTCCGAGTCACGATCATCATTTCCATCAGAACAGTTGTTGTCTCTAAAACTCATAAATGTAATGGCAATCAGATTAGGCTAAACATCTGGAAGATCTTCAGGGAGGATATCGAAAGAAAGGGTTTAAAGTTCGAAGCCACCGCTGCGTAATGAATAATTCTCGGGAGCGAATATACCGAACTTTTGTTTCATAGGTATTTTGTATGAATTAATTTAACAGCGCGAAATCTGTCCAAACATACGATGCGGACAAAGAAATGTACATGACGCATGTAACACGAAAATGTTACATTTAAAAAAAAAAAATGATGTCGAAAGTTTATCGAACATTAGTTTTTCACAAGAATCCAGTCGCAAGATTGTACCTAAATGGAAACACGGGATTAATATATTGCCAAGAATGAATACAATATGAGTAACCAATCAATTCATCAGTTCTTTTTATGACCAATAAAATGATAAAATGGAAATGGTCAGTGTATCTATTGTATACGCACGTGATGATTGTTCTCTTTTTTTAGTTCATGCTGTACCGATTTACCCGTTGAAGGGTAATATTTTCTCACGTCACGGACAAATAGCGATAATACAAATAATGGGCGATTGTTTAATCAAAGATTTATCAATGTCCCAAGGCTAAATAGAACACCTTCTTCATTGATTATAACAAACATTTTGTCATGTGAAAATCTCCAATCGCATTCCGCGACCAAAAGTGGTTAAGCATCGGATGTTGATATGAGATGTGTGACACAATCTAGAAATTTGTTGATTTCCCAGCGTCTTGTTAATGGAATCGGTTCAGATCCACTTTCTCAAAGATAGCGGAATTTCCATTGATTAACATTGAAACTTTCGGGCTGAACGAATAAATGGAAGAACTCGAGGTTCACAAATACCCAACTCTTTTTAGAAAGATTAAAAAAATATATATATATACTGTATATATATATAATAATGAGATAACATAATAAAAAAAATCTTAAATACATTTATAGCAAAGAAGAATAAATAGCCTTTATCGTCTGTCACACCAAAGTTTATCTAATAATTTGAGCACAGTGCACAATATGGTGAATGGGTGCAACCCAAAATTCTTGTCACACAATACACGAGTATAAGATAATTGACTCAACACTGGTTCACACGGAGATACTGCAGAAACTTGCGAGTTCTGCTTTCAAGCACCTACGTATTAAAGTTGAACATCCGGCTCACACCTCCGGGTTGGTGTGTGCATCTTACTACGGAGTAGTACGATGACCGGAAATTTCCTAATTCGGCAATTCTTTGCAACAGAAACTTAACCATAATGTTATCCCAATCAAGAATACGTGCGTGTATGCATGTAATCATAAATTAAATTTTACCAAAATTGAACATTCTCCTTACCCAATGTTTGTGTGCATTGTGTGCACACACAACAGAAGTTTTACATTTGTGATGGAAGTTCGGATAACGCTAACAGATGTTATCAAAAAATTGTGTATTTACTTGACTCTTCATGTTATCGCACGTGTTCCCATATTTGTTTAAGTCCTATTAAATGTCGTCCTTCAAATTTGTTTATTTTCAACCACCGCTTATTCTCGCGTCGCACCGAGTTTTAAGTAGATAGGAGTAACAGTTTCAGTTCATCATATGCATGTATGTAACCTGTGCTCCAACCTTACTCGATGCTCGTCAATTTTGACCTATACATACCTTATCCTCATATTACCATCTATTTTATGTAATGTAAACAAACATAAATTATTATTATTTTTTTTTTTATCTTGTTCCTGCACAACAATAATTTCACACAAAAAAAATGTATTCTTTTGATATGTATGCCCCCCAGGTTTCTCCGCTTTCATCAACTTCTCGTTCATTCTTCCTAACTTTAAACCTTTTTTGATTTTTCTTCTTGTACATAACGGCATATACATATATCCACATATATATAGTATAGTATTCCTTGTTTTAACTGTTACCATAACGGAAAAATTCGCTTTTTTTTTTTGTTGTTAATTAATGATCAATTCTCTGTTCTCCATCTAATTTCTCTTTCTCCCTCTCTCTCTCTTTTTTTTTGTTTACCGAGAGTTGAATGTTATGTTTGATAACATCGTACATTATGAAAAGCTTCGCTCCGTTAGGTATTAATCGCATCAAAGTTAAAATTTCGGCGAGAGAAAATTTCCCGACGCACTCAGTCTAAATTATAATCTTTAATCAAAAGTGACGACACATAATTCTACATACACAGACAAAAAAAGAACACAATGGTGTTTTTAAATAACACGTTCGCATTAACTTGCAGGAATTTATCTGCTACCGGAATGTCCTCGGATTCATCCTCCACGAATTTGCGGGTGATTAAAAATGAAACGATGTGTGTATGCGATTTTAGGATAAACTACAAAGGTTGCGACGAAGAATCAATACTACAATTATCACATCTGGTGTTGATTCCCTACACGGTCATCATCATGTTGATTTCCCTGGGATTGATGTGGCACAGGATAGTCGTGAGAGGTGAACCATTTTTCTTAAACCCCACCCGAGAACGAGGAATACTCAGACCAAAACCACAAGAAGTCTTTCACATCGCCGCCATCGTATTTAATTTCTGTAAGTTCCAAACTTGACTTGTGGAATATATATCACGTGAAATTCTCGTTTATACGTTTTTTTTATTTTGTTTTTTTTCAGTTCAGCTAATTCACATGATACTCGTGCTCACCAACTCATATCCGAATACCGTTTCAGCGGAGAGTATGTATGGTGACGGACGGCGGCAGACCGATAAGCTGTTTGTTTGTTTTTTCAATGGTTTCTGATAATTTCGTTTCATTCAACTTTTCAGTCGGACAGGATTTATCGCGCGAATTTGGCACGGGGCTAGCATTGATCTATCCAATTAGCATGTGTAAGTTCATGGATCCATGAATTCTTTGAAACCTGAAACATTTCAAACGTGTTAACGCGCCTTCATCACATGCACCATTGAAACAGTTTACTCGACACCCAACTGTAGCTCGACAACAGAATCGATGTCGGAAGGTGGCCCACAAATTAGCAAATCATTCAATAAATATCTGGTTGATGTAACAGGATTCTTCGTCTTGATCGCTCCTGTTGCCACGATGCTTCCTTTGGCCTACCTCACTGGCCACTACGCTGACCGCGAGTCAGCCTATGCGCTGCAACTGTCCAACATCCACTCATTCGTTTGGATAGTATGGGTGATAATATTTTTGGGATCGGCAATATTTTTTTGGTATAAGCTGATGGTCGTCATATGGGATGAGATCAATGAACTAAAAAGAAAAGGAGAAAGCGATGGATCGGATGTGCAACCCAGAATCATCACCTTGAGAAGGGCGGCCAGGAATGTATGTATGATCATTCTTATCCCGAGATGGATGGGATTGAAAGTGTTTCCTCGTGATTCTCATTTACTCATCATTTCTTCTTGAACGATATAGCTGTTCTTGGTTAAAATCTCTTTGGCTATCGTCGTGATAATTTTCGTCATCATAACACTTTCGTACACCATATATCACAAGGAAAAAACGCTTTTTAACAAAAACATCAATGTTGGTTACATGATAATTTGGGATTTCACGATACCAATTATATTTAACATAACCCAATTCATCTTTATTTACAAGTAAGAATTTTTTTTTTTTTTTCTCAACCATACAGACACAGGCCTGTGTATCTTACAAAGCTAACGAAAATTTCTTCCGATTAGCATCTTACGATCAGAACCCGAACAAGACTCGGCGTTCATGTTACAGGACTTAAAATCTCACACCTCCGATAACTCAAAGACCAATCCCCGCTTCATGGAAAAGCAGAAACAAATTCTGGGTGCATCGAAGGAGGGTCAAATTGCCGTTTTTGAATTTGATGAGGAATCGACGATGTCGGTTGGTCCGAACAGTCCTATCTCATCAGAAAAGAGAAGAATAAATAATCAACTGCAACGACCTTCTATCGAATTGCAACATTCTCTCTACTCAAATGCCAGTAGCGTAAGTCGAAGGGACAGTTACGTGAGCAACGACTCTTCCAGTGATGGGACGATTGACGTAAATCAGGACAACGGGAATGATGGTTATGATGCCATCAACGACGGCAGAAATGCTGCGGATGCTGAAGTATATTATGACTCGAGATTGACGAATAGCCCGAGGTCAAATTCAAGATTTCATTTAAGAGGTAGCATGCAGACATCCATATCCACGCTATCTGATCTAAGCCTTTCGCCAACCTCATCAATATCCGATGAATTAGGGATGGTCATGTATCCGTCATTCTTAGCATCGAGGGGTTTCGGCAGCACAAATCACATGAGGAGATCAACTCTACAATTGCACCATCATAAAAGCTATGAAAGTTCGATGGGATTGATCATCGAGGAAACGTCGGATAACAGAAATGACAATCATGTTGTTGCTTCCTCTTCAGGCGATATGAGCCATAATAATACTGCGGGCAATAGCGTGAGTAACGCTGAGGGAGGTAGCAAGAGCAGTAATACTTCCTCGGCGGTGAATCCAGTTGCCTTGGCACTGGCAAAAGCAAAGTCCGAAGAGGATCTGACAAATAGTAATGAAACATACAAAGCTACAGGATTATACAAGCAAAGAGAATCAGTTTCAATGATTGATGTAAATGAAATGCAGGATTGGTTGAAGAGGCCTGTCTCGACTATCCACAGGATAAAGACAATTCAAAGATTAAACCAAGTTAATTTTAATTAGCTCTTTATTAATCTACCTATTAGTATAATATAGAACCTTTTTATATATATTTTTGTACTATATAATTTATTTGTCTCGACAGTTGATAATGCCTACTCTAGTTTACACACGACCTGCTGCGCAGAAGAAAAAAAAATTCTCTTAATAATAAAATTTGAATTGTGTAAATATTAGAAGACATTGTTTTTTCTTTGACTGTGCGAATGGATTGTAACACACTGATAATCCCTTGAAATTGAATCCAATATGAATAAATAAAGTTAGTCTTTACTATGCATATCGTATCCCATATAGGTTCAAG